ATGGTGTTTAAATGGAATAGTCTTGAGGTTTATTTAATGATTCATACTTATTTCTTGATGGATTGTGCCTCTTCCTTAGTTTAATTAGTTTAATTTTCATGTCCCTAGCTTAGTTGTAGTGTAGTTGCTTTACTTCCTTAGATGGGAGGACAATCCATGCTTGTTGTTTGATGTTCCATACTTATGAATGCAAGTAGTATATTTCTCTAATTTGGTGATGTGTGTTGATTGTGGACTTGAAGGAAGGAATAATGGTTCAATTTGATATGTTGTGCTATTCACTAGTTTGTCTTGACAATATATACTTATTTAGTCATCCATGCTTGTTGATTCAATTAATGACACACATTAGTATTGCAACACATAATACCCCTCATTCATTACACATTGAGTGTATAGGAAGGTGATGTTTAGTGGTGAGCTCTAAGTCCCAAGACCCTTCTCTATTATTCTCTACATTTTACTCTACTTTTTACCTTGCATGCATTTAATTGACATTGTAGTTAATTAACCAAACAAACCATTTTTTGATCACTCGCCCTACTAATCCAACATTGTTTACTGCCTTTTTCCCTTGGGATGATCCCTACTCACCTTAGCTATATTAGTAGTTAGAGGTAGTAGTGGCACTCTATAAATTCAAACTTGGCCACACTACACACTTTTGCATGCAATTTGGTGCATTGGGCGACACATACCATCGTCCACTAGGGGTAACCTAGGGGTTTAAAGGCTTCTTGCATAAGCTAAATGTAACCGTGATTCCCATGAAAGTGGCTTTTTAGTTCTGTATTGCTAAGGGACTAGCAATATGTAAGTTTGAGGGTATGATGAGCACTAAATATTGCAAATTCGAGCCCCTAAATACGCATATGTTAAGACCTAAAGGGCCTGTTTGTTATGTGTTTTACTTTGGTGTTTTTGTTGCAGGGCTCAATTTCAATCCCAAAAACATGTTTGGTAGCCCTTGTTATGTTTTAAACAGTATAAAAATATTGTTTTAAACAGTACACAATTTTGGCCCAAAACTGAAACACCGAAATGGTGTTTTTGTTGTTTCTGAACTGTAGCCCAATAAAAAGAACTGTAGCGCTTGAAGTAAGTTGGGTTTTGAACTGTAGCGGAGGAAGTAACTTTAAAACATCGTCTGCAACACTTTGGCCTGATCTTTTCTCTCTCCTCTGAAACCTAGAGAAGGCCATTTGGGAGGCGAAAGGGAATCTGAAACCCTAGAGAAGGCGATTTGGGAGGCGAAGGGGAATCGCAAGCACGAAGTCTTTGAAAAGCACAAAATCGGAAGCACGAACTGTGGTGAGTACTCTCTCTTCTATTTCTATCCTCTTTAAATACTCTGTCTTCGATTTAGTTGTGAAACAAGAAGACTGTGCTTCTCATGTAAGAGTGCTTGACACAGTCAATGTTAGAAAAACTGGTTAACTCTTGCTTGTTCAATTTGAATCAAAGACAATTAATTTAGGATTTTCAGCAAAATTGATGAACAGAAATGAAGCTAAAATCGAACATACGTGTGGAATTTCCAAATATGTGATGAACAATGAAAGGGGTAAACAATTGCTCAAGCAATTATAGGCTTCATTCAGAATAAAATTATGTTGTTTACCCATCTTAGGATACACTAATTTGCAATCTACTAGAGCTGGCAGGAAAACTAAATTTTTATTTTTTAATCTACTCTTCTCAGCTCAACTAATTCTTCTTTGGAGTCAGTTATGTTTTTATCATTATTCTTTGTTCCACATGTGTCCTAAATATTTCAACCCATATTAATTATGGGTTTTTACCAGTAGCACTACCTTCAATGTGGATTGTGCCACTCTTCCTAATTGGTGCACTAAGGGGTCTTTACCGTACATGTTTAAAACCATCATAATTGGTTTCACTAATTTTATCTCTGATTTGCTCTACTTGTACCACCTTAAGAATGTGTTTCTGTCTAAATCAACATTAGTATTTGGATTATGCTCATTTTATGATCACATTGTTTCTTAACTACCTAACACTTGGGTCCGTAGAAAGCATGACCGGTCTTATTATTTTCAACTTTATGGCTATAAGTTGGTTACAAAGCACACCAAAAGCACTCCACGTTGCTCATAGCGTCTTAACTTCATTAGCAACATTCTCCCTCTAGTTTTGTATGATCAAACTTTGGTAGTAAAAATTGTTCCCTTTTTGGTTCTTTCTTGCTCTTCAATCTCACTATTTTCCCCTTGTATTTTGCTAGAAATTACACATCACACACTCAATTTAGTCCAACTTTTATTGATGTCTCTTGATTTTAGAGCTTCTCTCAGGACTTCTAATTTGGCATTTGCCTTATTCTAATCTTATTAGTTAAAAACAATATCACTGAAAAAAAAGCACACATTTGAACCTTATATTGGATCCGTCACACACTCAATTTTGTCCAACTTGTATTGGTTCCTCTTGATTTCAGAGCTTCTCTCAAGACTTCTAATTTGGCATTTACCTTATTCTAGTCTTATCAGTTAAAAACAATATCACTGAAAAAAAGCACACATTAGAACCTTATATTGGATCCGTCCATTTCATTCATTAACAAATATGTGAAAATGATAAAAATATAATGCTACTCTTTATGTAAACCATAGTGAGTGAGAATTTACTCGACTCTTATGTAGTTGTTCTTACTATACTAATCCATCATAAATATCTTACATCATGTGAATATATTTAATTACAACGCTGACCCTCCTCCCCCCAAACTACATAATATCTCGAGGAATCTTAGAATAGCCTTTCTCTGAGTCTTAAAACAGTGCATGGGGATCATTGTATTCTCTTTACACCTTTCTATTAATCTTCTGTTTGTATTGAAATTTTAAATCCTGTAGCCAAGCTAGTATTTTACCACTGTTTGTTTCATGTCTAATTCATTACTCGATAAACATCTCCCTAAGACTCATTTGTTTAATACAGTGCAGATTTTTATATCTACTTTTTATTTATTATTATTTTTTATATGAGTCCTGAAATACTCTTTTATCACACATCAGATATTTTCTTATAATGTTGCTTTCTTTTTGATAAGTAGGATAAAAATTCTATGAAAACGAAAATCCTAGAATGATAGGAATCTACAAATAAAGCTATCTCCTCATTAAGCTGGTAGAATAACGAAAGCACAATTCTTTTGAAAAAGAAAATTATATAATGATTGGAACTTCATCTAGTGATTCAAAAACTCCTTAGGATCCCTTGAATGGAACATCCTTTCCAACTGACCAGCATGTCATCACCAATTCCTCGCTTAGTCTATACTAATTCCAAACAAGATGAGTAGGACCACTCTTTCTTACACATACAACACCAATCACTAATGACTTAGATCGCTCTTTCTTGAATATCAATTGACAAGATGGCTTCTAACGTTGTTTTGTGTGCAAAGAAAGCTACGTTTAAGGGTGCCTTTGTTCCCATATTACTTTCAAAGGAAAGGACTGCTTGTTACCACTAGAGAGCCTATGGTACATTTTCAAAATAAAATCTTGTTCCAAGCACCATCCACCTAATGGAGTATTCTCCCTCCAAATAACTAACTAATGCAATCAGCTATGAAAGAAAATAAATAAATCTGAAGAAGGGAAAACAGAGAGCTAATTCAAGCTAGAAAATAGCTTAAACACCCATAACTCAATCCCAAAGAAAGGGAGAGGTAAAAGGCTGCTACAGAAGACTGAAAATATTGATAATACGTCAAAAAGCTGCTGAATACAACTTGGAACAACCTTTTATAAGACACAAGGGATGCCCTAGCAAGGAATTAATCCTAGCCCTTCGTATAAATATAATCTAATAGCTAGAATTCTATCCAGCAAAATAAAGACGCTAAAATGACAAAATAGTGCTTAAGTGGTCACATGGCTCGCTTAAAAAGGCACATGACTCGCTTAAAAAGGCACATGACTTATAAAATAAAAACTAAAATGACAATAGTATCCTAAACATGAAATAAAGACAGACTTAAGACTTATATAAATGACTCTAGACCAATAAACAATCACACAATCTGATCACATCATCAGCTGCCCTTATTAATGGAAACACATCATAGTCTTCTTGGATCTTTAACTGTTTGAAGAAAGTCCTCTTCCATTTGCTATTGACAGAAATGTGCACATATGGATGTGGTAAATGGTGAACATAGAAATGTGAGATTAGTTATAATGCCAAAATGTGGCGTGCAGATTAGTGAGCGTACTTACTTGTGCTAGGAACAAACCTTTTTACTCGGAAGAATCTCAGTCAATTCGTTGGAAGGGGAAACATCCTTTAAGTTTCCTATGAAGTGGAAATTGACTGTTTTAATATTACTCTCACTAGGTGTCTTGTTCCTTAGAAACATCCAATTGATTCCCATGCAATGAAGGAAAAGAGTTTGAACAGACTTGTACTCCCTAACCTTTACATACAAATTTTAACATGTACAAATGATTATATTGTGGGTAATAGTGTCTGTGGTAGAATAACAGACTTGTTTTTGACTTGGACAAAGTTACTTTTCTTCTATTAGAAAGAGGTTCTTTGAAATGTCAATTTCATTCTTTTGTTTGACCTATATTTCATAAAATGGTTGAATGCAACACACATAATTTATATAATTCCCTGTAGTTTGGAAGAACATATTATTTTGGGAAATACCAATCTCCAAAGAAAGCAGAGGCCTCTGTGGTTTAACCTATCAATTGATCATTCTTTAATACTACTTGTTTGTTTACCACAGTGACATGCATGACAAACCTGTCTCAAATGTCAAAGTACTAACATTTTAGGGCGAATTTCACATACACCCCTAAGTTTGGATTACAATATCATTGAAATGCCTTTGAGTTTGGACAAATCTCACCCAAAATTATTAGTGAAATTTTGTGGGTAAGAGTGTTTCCTTTCTCCTCTCACGTATGTGTACTATTATTATTTTTTTGTTATTAATTATTGTGTTGTTATTAATATGTTAGATGGATATGAATGTTGAGAATGTGGAACAATGTGGTGATTCTCTCACAATTGAAGAAGTGGCTGAAGTTACGAACGATGGAAAATTGTTATGGGATGAGTCACTCATTGAAAAATTCGTGAATATTATGGTGGAAGAAGTTAAGGCTAATAATCGTAGTGGCACAACATTTAGTAAAAGTGGTTGGAGTAATTTAGTCAAACAAATGAATGTTCACACGGGGAGAAAATTTGGTTTAACCCAACTTCGGAATAAGTTTAATGGTTTGAGGAAAATTTATACTGAGTTTAAGAAATTATTATCGGAGACTGGCGTGGGATATAACCATGAGACGGGCATGGTTATAGTTGAGGAAGAGAGATAGGACAGGTTGTGCAAGGTTAGTAATTTAATTATTAGTCATAAATAAATAATAAAATCTTGTATATTATTGGTTATGTGGTTAATATTGTAACAAAATTTGTAGGTTGTTACGAATGCAAATAAGTATAAAAAGTATGGATGTAAGCATTTTGACAAGATGTCGACTATATTTGGGGACACATATGCAAGAGGGATGCATGCCCACCCATCCACTACAGCACCACCCACAATCATTTTGCCCACTCCCAATGATGACGATGATGAGGAAGAGGGTTGTGAGGTCAGTCCCCCACCTTTACGTAAAGGTAAGAAAGCCAAAAGAGATGCTTTATCTCCTGGTATAGCTGCACTCTTGTCAAACATGAATGAGAATTCTGAGAGGAGAGCTGAGAGAATGGAAGCTGCAATAGAGAAAGCAGCTAAAGCATCTTCTACTTCTACTCGTGTATCTTCATGTGAGAAAGGAGATGATGAAGTTCTCTCTCCCTCAAAAAAGGATAGAGATTATGAAATGTTTGACGCCTCCATGCTCCTTTTACAAAAAATACCTGGAATTGAGATGGCCCAATTCGCTAAGGTATCGAAGTTATTACATGATTCTGAGAAGTGGCAGAAATTTTTTCTTTCGGCACCTAAGGATGTAAGAATTGGTTGGGCACTGAATGTTTGAGTTTTTCTTTATGGATGATTGTGTTTTGTGTCATCGTTTAACTTATTACTATCTCACATTTGGATGACTGTAATAACTTAAATACTTTTATTATCTCACATTTGGATGACTGTAATAACGTAAATATTTTTATTATCTCACATCTGGATAATTGTAATAACTTAATTACTTTTATTATCTCACATTTGGATTACTGTAATAACTTAAATATTTTTATTATCTCACATCTGGATTGCTGTAATAACTTAAATACTTTTATTATCTCACATTTGGATGGCTATAATAACTTAAATACTTTTATTTCTTGGATGCCTGTTAGTACTCAAATACTTTAATACCATTATTTAAATGTTTGTTTTATTATTTAAATGTTTTGTTTATTATTTAATTGATTTTCTTATTAACTTAAATGCTTTGCTTGTATTAAATCTTTAAATAGGGCAATGGATGTGTGGAACAATATAAGAAGAATAATTCAATTATCTGACGATGAGGAGGATAATGAGAGTGTCTTAATATTTGCTGCTCTTTTAGAAGAGCAGAACTTCTATCAAAAGAGGCGTTGTAGGGATTCCATTTTACAAGGGGAAACATATGTTATGGAGATTTTAAACGGCCATAGAGAAAGATGTTATGAAAATTTTAGGATGTACCCTGAAGTTTTTAGAATATTGTGTAGTACCCTGAAAGGTATAGGGCTGAAGGATTCTAAATTTTTAACTGTTTATGAACAAGTGGCAATCTTTTTGCTCACTTTATCTCATAATCAAAGGAATCGTGTTGTAGCAGAGAGATTTCAACACTCCACTGAAACCATTTTTAGACACTTCCATGCTGTGTTGCATGCAGTATGTCAGTTGGGCACCCATATCATTACCCCTCCTAATTTTTCTGTGATTCCGAATAAGATTAGAGAGTCTTCTAGGTTTTACCCTTACTTCAGGCATTGTGTGGGAGCTATAGATGGAACCCACATTCCTGCAACTCTGCCAGCAAGTACACAACTTCCATTTCGTGGTAGAAAGGGTTATACCACACAAAATATAATGGCTGTATGTGACTTTGACATGAGGTTCACATATGTGCTAGCTGGGTGGGAAGGCTCAGCTAATGATTCGAGAATCCTAAATGAGTGTATTGAAAATGAGGCAATGAACTTTCCAGCTCCACCAGCAGGTAATATTTTTTTATAAATTCACTTAATATATGGTTAGTTTATCATACTGTATATATCTTTATGTATTCTAAACATGGCAGGTAAGTATTATTTGGTGGACTCAGGGTATGCCAATAAGCCTGGTTATTTGGTCCCATTTCGAGGTCATACTTACCATTTTCAGGAATACCGTAGGACTAGACAACCTCGTGGTCGGGAGGAAGTGTTCAATTATAGGCATTCATCTTTGAGAAATATAATTGAGCGATGCTTTGGGTTATTGAAGATGAGATTCGCTATTTTGAGGGCAATGCCTCCTTATAAGTTTTCAACACAAGTATTGATTGTAATGGCTTATTGCACATTACATAATTTTATCAAAAATCAGCATTATCCTGATGACATATTTGATGGTAATGATCCTCCTCAAAGTGATGGTGAAGATGATGAGATTGTTGAGCATGTGCCTTTGGCTCAGCTTCGAGAAATGGATCAATTGCGTAATACTATTGCTGATCAGATTTGGAATTCTCTTCAGCACTCTTGATCCTTCTGAAGGTGATGGTATATTTTTTCTTTTATATATAATATATTTGTTGCTATTGTGAGCTTGCAATATATATATGTAATATAAATATTTTTTGCAGATATATAATTCAACTTAAATGCTATTATTGCAGATATGAAGTGTGTTGATGCTCTCTTGAAGGCCACATGTGCTGTTACGAAGATGATGTGTCGTTGCCATTGTTATCCACTTTATGAACTTCTTATTTATTTTTAGTGACAACTACGTATTGTTAATGCTTTGTTCCAAACATTTTATGTACAACTTAAACGTGTTTAATTTGTTGGTTGAATATTTTAGGACTTGTAAATGTTATACACTCTATTTCAATTATGCTTTCAATTGAGTTTGTTTTTATTTTAATGTTGTGTTGTACTATACAGGTATCAGGATAATAAAATTGAAGCAGGTTATTGCAAAGAACTTGTAAATAGGTTATTGCAAATTTTTTTTACAAATGCTGACTCTCATGTAGTATAATAAAATGTGACTAGAGATTATTTATTTTTAATATTGAGTTGGACTATACAGGTATAATGATAATAAAATTGAAGCAGGTTATTGCAAAGAACTTGTAAATAAGTTATTGCTAATTTTTTTACAAATGTTGACTCTCATGTAGTATAGTAAAATGTGACTAGAGATTATTTATTTTTAATATTGAATTGGACTATACAGGTATAATGATAATAAATTTGAAGTAGGTTATTGCAAATAATTTGTAAATAGGTTATTGCAAAAATTAATATATATATAATTTGGTGGGGGTTTACATTTTTTTACAAAAGCGAAGGCAAGAATTTGTATTTTGGAGTTAAATTCCCACCAGTGCAGACTTACAAGAGTCGAAAATTATTATCAGAGCGGTGTAGTATTTTTTTTCCTTCTTTCGCTAATGCGAAAAATGAGCAAAATGAATGAAATACAAACCTATGGACAATCATCACCAAAGGAACAAACTATACCAAGAAATTTCAAATAACTTGAAGTGTAGTTTCAGATCAAGATAACATGCAAAATGGTTGAAATTATTGGTTCAATTATTAGAACTAACATTCTACATTTTCATTAAAGCAGTTGCTTCTGTAATTACACTTTGGTTATATATATATATATATATATGTTTGTGTGCTCAAATTTCAATAAATTTATTAAAAATATATAGACTATTTATATAAAAATAAATTTATAAATAAATTTAAAATTTATAAAAATAAATTAAAAACAATGATAACCAAACATATTTTTTATTTCTGTTTTATCTTGTTTACAACAGTTGGAGTTACCAAACATGTTTTGTTTTTAAAATTCTTGAAACGCATGACTTACCAAACGTGTTTTGCATATTTTTGTTTCCGACATTTCTACAGCAAAACATCGTTCCCAAACGTGCTTCCGATTTTTGCCAAAACACTCTAATAGTAAAAACGCTATTTCTGTTTTAGCCAAAAACAAAACGCCTAAAGTAAAACGCATGCCAAACGGGCCCAAAATGATATATCTATCATGTTTTAGACTGATTTATGTTTATTTCATGTTTTTAGGTGTTTTCCTAAAGAAGCAGTTAACACCGGGCCTTTATGATGAAAAGAATGATAATGAAGTTTACTGCATCATTGCCGGTCATCCGAAGCAAGCCGAGAGTCAAAATGGTAAATTTTGGAAGAGTTTAAGTTTAGAAGCTCGAGCCTCGGTTCTATGGCTCGAGCCTCGGTTCTATGGCTCGAGCACGAAATTCTAAAGCTCGAGCCTAACTAAGGGTGCTCGAGCCTTGACCCTCAAGCTCAAGCATAAGGTGTTGGAATTTGAAGAGCTGATTTCGAAGCTCCCAGACCTCGTGCCTAACCTCAGGGATCGAGCACTAACACCTAAAGCTGCCCATAGCCCCAAAGCTCGAGCCCAACACCTTGGGATCGAGCACCATGAAGAGAGGATCGAGCACCATTAATAAAAAGACATTTCGGAACGATTTTGCTCCCAGAGCTTGAGCCCGAGCTTTAAGGCATGAGCCCGAATCAGAAAGTTCGAGCACCACCACTTCGGGCTCGAGGATGGTTAAAAACTCTGAACCTACTTCAGTATTTTTCCCATAACTTTTGACTCGAAACTCCAAATTAAGCAATCTTAGCATCTCTGCAAAGAAGACTCGAAGTCCGACGTTTTTGTCTCTAATAGCCATCTCAAGATTCACACTTTAAATGGGTCAAAATCGCGTTAGAAAGTCAGAACAAGTTACTAGCAGGTGAAGCTCGAGCCTGGACGTCCTGAAAGTCGAAAATACATGTGGAAATTACCAAAAATCATATTTCTTTATTTCTTTACTGGCCCAATTGTTAGGAAAAGCTAGAAAACCAATCCAAAAGGGATTGGGACTTGTTTTCCGCTATAAAAGAAGAGGAGAAGGCCACAGAAAAAGGATTTATCTCTGTTATCTCTTTCATATCTCTCTCACGGCAGCTTTTAGGGTTTTGAAGAAGAAGATCCAAAAGGAGTTTTGGCGGTCCATGGCGATGAAGACCACAACACCACAGATGATATCTTGTGTCATCATAAGTAACTAATTTCTATCTTAGGGCATTGATGTAGCCCGAATCCAAATATTATGGTTTGATTGTTCTATACTTTGGGAATTTAATATATTATGTATTTTGATTACATGATTTTGGGTAATTTCTTAATTCAATTGGTGTTTTAATTATTAAATAGTTTTTGAATGATTAATATCTTATCTTAGATTTAATTATTCTTAAATTATATTCAACCCATTCTTATTGGACGATATCTGGAGGAGCCCTATCGGACATAAGAATGGAGATCATGCAATGGTGTTCAAACGTTTTTCATGAATGAATATTTCCATAGTCTATGCCTAGAGAAGATGAGTTATACTGCAAAATTAATTAGAAGTAGGTAGGTAGATAATTCGTGCCAACCGAAGATAGGTTATTATTAGTTGAAATTCATAGAGCATCTTTCTTTAAATCTGAATTAAACAAATGTTACTGAATTTAATTCCATATGATACATAATTATTGAAATCCCAAGGTTAAATAGTTGACCATAGTATAAGGTTCATGGTGAAGTCAATCCCTAAGTATTTCTTCTCTTGATCTCAATCCTTTTATTCCGTTTATCTTCTTTTATGTTATTGAATTGCAACACAACACACAAAATCAAATCTTCCTTCTGAATTAAAATAGCAATTAATTGAAGACTTGGTAAACCACCACAGTCCTTGAGGTTCGACACCCTCAATATAGCCTTATCCTACAAGGA